AGTAGTCTTAAGTGGAACTCCTGATCCTCAGTCGTCAGGTCCCTTAACATAGGACTTAGGTGTCACAGTCTTCAGACACATAGTTGAGTTGGTTGGAATGCCTAATCCTCAGTCATTCAAGGTCCCTTAACAAAAATATTCTGAGACAAACACATGTAAATAATCCTGTAGTAGTTGTTAAAGAGTACTAGTTGAGCTGGGGTTTCCTCAGTCTTGACTTAGTGTTTTCCCTGCTAAGCTCTCATAAGCCTTAGATCTCACAACAACCAAGGTTCACATATGGTATCATTTAGCAGTCTCCATATCACACAAGATCTAGTGCCAGTGCCTGGTGCACTTCAAATGTGGAGTGTCTGCAACTATGAATATGCCTGACTACACTTACTGTTTTCTGACTACAAGTGACCAGAGTCTGACATAGCATCAGTGCCTTTGCCAGACTTCACATTTGTACAAAGGCTGCAAAACTCTTAACATTGTGCTAGCACACCAGCAAGTCTTGCTATAAGACTTGCTTATTCAAACATGACTCTCACAAAGTTAGGCTAGGATAATCATTATGCACATTTCCCAGCTGCATAACACAAACAGGGGTTTTTGAAATGATAGCATGCAAACTATCAGAGAAATATGCAGTGTATATGGAAGCAGGCCTCTCAAAACCAGCATGAAAACAACAGCTACAGAATTTAGACAGCATCTGCAATTAGTCTCTGTGGAGTTTCAACCCACTTTCGCCACACCTCAACAAATGCAACAAGCTCAGCTCCTTCAATAACTCTATGATCTGCGCTCCAACTGACACCAGCCTTCAGCCGCCGCTGACCTGTGCCATCTCCGCTGTTCATATCCCATACCCACTTTGCACGACCCACTGCTACAATCGCAACTCCACCACCTGGAACGAGTATAGGGGAAGAGACGTCAACATCTCCGACGCCGCCAATATTGGAGACCGTGATCGTTCCACCCTTCTTTGGCATCTCTGCAACGCCCAGACCACATGGAACTTGTCGCCCCAAGTACGACAAGTGCTTGAGCTGAGAGGCAATGTTGTATACGGAAAGAGAATCGACACGCTCTATTGTCGGCGTGTAAAGACCAGTGGGTGTACTCAACGCAATGCTGACATCAGAATGCGGGCGGATTGTGAGTGCGGGCTTCTCGTTGGAAGACATCGATGGCTGGGATGTTATTGAAGATCGGAAGAGGGGCCATTCCGCCATGGCTCTAGAAAGTGTCTTCAAGAGGAATGGGAGGAACGTAAGCCGGGAAAAGCGCGCGAATGGAGGGACCGGAGCCGGTTCAGGTAACTCATAGAATGCGGACGGGGAGATGACAGCAACGTTGACGGGGGCTGGCGTCGTTGATAAGAAACGAGTTGGGATATGTGCGTTGATGACCGGCATGAGCTCATGCAGGGCCGTGAGATCTAGCGTGGTGGAAAATCTGTGGGACGGCTGTAGCCACAACACACATCCGAATACATATACTTACCCAAACTGGGGAATCTCAAGACTCTTGATATACTGGTGAGAACACGGTCTGCCTGTGGTTATTACTACGTACCTTCGTCATTGCCTTCCACATTCCATATCTGGTCCGACCAAGTTCCACCACAATTTCGACATTGACTGCATCGTCTTTACTCTGAGAAGACGAGGGCACCTCACTCTTTGCAGCAGTGTCCGAAGACATAGCCAGGAACACTTCTATATCTCTTTTTTCTATTCTTCCGTTCTTGCCGCTGCCGGGAGCTAGGAGCGTAAGATCCACTCCGGCCTGCCGAGCAAAATGACGGACAGATGGTGTTGCAAGAACATCAACGGATGGCGCTGCAGCCTCAACATCCTGAGCCCTTGGGTCCAAAGGATGCCGTCTGGATCTAAGAACTCCTGTTTGGTTTTCGGTACTACCGCCAAACAATGACGCTTCGGAAGACTGTGGCGCGCCAGATAGTGGACTTGAAGGGCCAGAATCATCGGCAGGTACCCCATCAGCATTGCTGGGGCTATCCTCTTCAACTTCAATGAGACATATCCCTGCACCCACTTTAGCAATATCGCCTTCCTGGACAAGGATCTCCTTAAGAGTGCCATCAAAGGGGCTTGTGATCTCGACGCTGGCTTTGTCACTTTGAACTTCGCAAAGAGGGTCAAAGACCTGGACGGAGGCCACAGGCTTGATGTTCCTACCACCATAGCGCTAAGAATGAAGTAAAGCTGGTGAAAGGTGGGCGCACCATTTGATGACCTCGCACTCGGTGATGCCCTCACCTATGTCGGCGAGCTTGAACTCCTTGAGCGTCCGACGAACGGCCCACAGGGACGGACAGGAGTGAAAGCGAGCAGCAGGAAGGAGGACTGGGGAGCGAATTGTGCGAAGGAGAGACATGGTGTGCGCGTTAAGACGAGAGGCGCATCTGCGACGATGAGCAATTAATGATTATTGAATTGGAATCGGAAGCGTTAGAGCGACTGGACAAAAAGTGATCGAGCCAAGCGCCCGTCTGGTTGCAACGCGCCGACGCGTTCGATCGCCCAAAACGGTCTCCCTCCTTCTCCTCCCTCCTCCCCCGTCCGCTGCGCCTCGTCGCACACGCTCTCCTCACCGCCACCGCGTGTCTCGCCATATACTTACTGCGTAAGTTTCTTGTGATTCCCTCTACCACACTCACCTGCCACCCGCTCAATTCCATGCATCCCATCCAGCAGTACTTCTCAGGTCACCGCAAGCCCCTTCCCCGCGTCTTCTCCTGGGCAGCGCGGAATCCCTCAAAGTCCAAGCTAGTCTATCGCTTCGGCCAATCGAAAGACTCTCTTGCTTCTGATCCACCCTCCGCCATGGCTGCTGTCGATTCTTCCATGAACCCTGTGGCGACTGCCAATGGCACAGCTCACACCAATGGCAATGGCATACTCCATGACAGCCTAGCAGAGCCTCCGTCTATTCCCTTCGATTCGTCCATTTTCCGTGGCTACCTCCTTGCTCTGCTTCCTCCTCTAGCGGGTGCTTCTCCGGACGAGCTCGAAACACTCTTCGATGATGACTTCAATGATCGCTTCTTGCGCTTCGCAGGTGAGGGTGGAGGTGTCATATACGTTGTAAAAAGGAAGGAAGATGGAGAAGGTGCGCCACGCAACTACCTCGATGATCACGCACTAACTTGTACTAGAGGATGCGCCCCCGATTTACACTTATAAGCTCACTCCCCAGCTAACTTATGATTCCTCGCACGTCACGACTCTCGCTATCATCAAACGCGGTCCTACTCTCGATCCCACCGCACCTCTTTCTACACAGCTGCATCTTCTCAACCTCTTTGGAGGCGACGAGACTCCTTATGAAAGTCTCCATGCCGTAGTGAGCTGCGCAGTAAAGCCTTGGTTCGAAGCATTTGTTGGTGCCCGTGGCGTAGGCAAGGATGGGGACTCGAAGATGGGTGAGATCTGAGTCGTTCTCCTCCAAAGATATCTACTGATTATGTCATAGGCATTCCCATGACGAAGAAAAAATTCGCCGAGCTCGAATTATCTTTACTCCACTTGCAGCAGAACGTCGAGATACCGGAGACGCATCTCATCATTCATCCTGTCATACAACGAACGGTCGAACAAGCACGAACGGCGGGCACGCGGCCAAGTATTTCAGACATCCCGGCTAAGTTGCTCAATGACAGCAGCTTCCTTAATACATTACATAGTCATGTCAATCAGTGGATCAAGTCCATCCAGACTGTCACTAAACTCTCGCGCGATGTGTCTTCGGGTACCGCTTCGCAAGAGATTAACTTTTGGCTCAGCCTGGAGAGAGCTCTGGAAGGAATCGAAGCTCAACTCCGAAGTGAAGAAGTCAACATGGTCATGGACTGCCTCCGAAATGCCAAGCGATTTCACGCTACAGTCAGTTTCATAGCTGATACCGGATTAAAGGATGCCACAGACACTGGTACGTGGCGATCCCGTATGTGCTCCTTGACGTCATAACAATTCATTTGTAGTACATAAGTACAATCAGCTCATGAAGGACTTTCCGCTGAACGAGCTGCTGTCCGCGACCGATCTAGATAAAATCCAAGAGTCCTTGATCTTGATTTTTGGACATATTAATCGCAAACTGAAATTGTCGCCATACCCTATTCGACGTGCTCTCCCCCTTGTAGAAGCCATCTCTCGCGACTTCAATGACCAGCTTCTTCGCGTTCTAACCTCTCACCGATTATTATATACGCCGTATGAAACTTTTGAACGCCTATTATCCCAAACCATAGGCATTTTTCGGACATGGGATGACAATATCAAGGAATTTACGAACGTGGCTCGTGAAGTCACTCGTAGGAGATCCGAAAAGTTTATCCCGATCAAAGTAGTTCCTGCTCATGCCAAGCTTCAAGACCGTACATCTTACCTCCGTGACTGGCGGAAGCAGCACGAACAGCTTGCCGTGATGACAGGCCCAACGAAGGGTCTTGGTGGTGCCGGTGTGGAGATCGGAGGGATGGACATGGAAGCGGAAGTCAAGGAAGCTTATGAAGTAATCAAGAGAATTGATGTTCTTGACGTCTCCATTGGTGAGTCAGTGAGTTATTGCACTGGAGACAGTGCAGTGACAAAATAATACAGAGGGTAGCGAGATTTGGGTGGCGGCTGAGAACGCATACAACGAACGTGTTGCAAGAGTCGAGAATCAAATCATTGCTCGACTTCGAGATCGGCTGGGGACCGCTCGTAATGCGAATGAGATGTTCCGTGTCTTTTCGAAGTTCAATGCGCTATTTGTTAGGCCGAAGGTAAGTAGTTCAGTTCGTTTGGGCAGCACACATCTATCATGTATCTCAGATTCGAGGTGCCATCCAAGAATACCAGACGCAGCTTATTGACTCAGTTAAGGAGGACATCAAACGTTTGCACGACAAGGTAAGTCCTCTTTAAATTGCATGTGTGCGTGCATTGCTGTAACTAAGAATATCATAGTTCAAGACGCAGTATCGGTTTTCCGAGGCGTATCATATGTCCCAGATGCGCGACCTTCCACCGATATCAGGGGCTATCATCTGGGCTCGTCAGATCGACCGGCAACTGCAAACTTACATGAAGCGTGTTGAGGATGTCCTAGGCAAAGGTTGGGAATTGTATGCTGAAGGACAAAAGCTTCAATCAGAAAGCACCGCATTCCGAAAGAAATTGGATACGAGGCCGGTCTACGACGCATGGCTGCACGATATCAATCGGCGAGATATGGGCGTGAACGGTCGATTATTCGAGATTGTCCGACTACGTGGCGGCGGCTTCCAGCTCGCGGTAAACTTTGACCCTCAGATCATCACACTTTTTAAGGAAGTTAGAAACCTACTGTGGCAGAACTTCCAGGTTCCGCACGCAATTACGAACATGGCTAAGGACGCCAAGCGAGTATATCCTCACGCGGTTAGCCTCATGGAAACAGTACGGACGTACGGCCAAACACTCGACTTGGTAGAGAAGAACAAAGGTATTGAGTGGCTTGTAGCGGAGTATCGCAACGAAGCACAGCGCATGATTACTCGCGGTGAGTGCATTGTAGGGCGTCTTATAATATCAGATTCTAACCCCCATCAGGTATGAACATTAGATGGGACTATTTTGTGAATCAGTATGATACGACAAGATACGTTTCTAGCGGTGACGCTCGTGACAACCGACATATACAGTTTGTAAGAGAATTCGCCAGTATTATCTCAGTCTTGCAGGTAGTTGTCCGCCTAAAATCGTGTATGATATATCACTAAAGTTGGCTATTAGGACAAGACGAATAATGTCATTGATTTGTACAAAGACATAACCCGTGCCGTCGAGGAACTATCAACATGTCCTTACACTTCCGATGCACTTTCAGAGCTTCTGAGTCGGATACAAGCTGCGGTAAGCCCGGTCCTCTGTGGTTCATTGACACTGATGAGTTGAACGCCTCATAGATTGACCGACTGAACCTTGAGGGATATGCCAACCTAGAACACTGGGTATCGGAACTTGACCAACGAATAGAGGGCATCTTGTTGCAGCGTTTAACGCACATAATTCAAGTATGGTGCTCAGAATTTGATCGTACCGATGACGCCGATGGACGACGTGAACCACTGGTTTTGAGAGACATCTCGAATAAGCGACGTGGGGATAAGAGGGTTAAGGATGAGAAGGTATGATATAATGTTTGTGGCCTCATTCGACCCAGCTGAACACAATGTTTAGTCGCTAGAGGGCGGATTGAGTCTCCACACTATAGTACACGAAATCAGGATACAAAATCAAGTAATTTTCCTCGACCCACCAATAGAGTATGCCCGGCAAACTTGGGTTCGGGAGTTGCACAAGTGGTTGGGTGAGTCAACAGGAAGTAGGATGAGGCTTTACTCATCATATGGGTAGGCATCGTGTGTCAGTTGCGGAGAATTCAGAGCTCTCGGTATGAGATCGGTCTACAGATGCAGAGCTCGACAGCAACTGAACTAACCTACACCTCGCTGGTAAGCACTTGGATCACAAAGCGTATGTGGAGACTGATAGTAGTTTTCAAAGCTCACTCGGTTCACGGATTCAACCCTGGAACGACCGTTCGCTCTGATTGAACACAAAGTCCAACAGCTGAAGGATTACGTAGCCAAATGGCTGCAATTCCAGTCCCTCTGGGACCTTGAAACGGAATATGTCTTCAACCGACTTGGGGATTCACTGGGCCACTGGCAGCAGCTACTCACTGAGATCAAGAAAGCTCGGTCCACATTCGACACTTCGGAAACACAGAAATCGTTTGGCGTGTGCATCATTGACTACGAGCAGGTCCAGGCGAGAGTCAATGCCAAGTACGATGCCTGGCAAAGAGATATCCTTAGTCGTTTCGGAGTGAAGCTGGGTAACGCTATGAAGGAGATGCATGCAACCATTCTCAAAGCTAGAAATGAACTCGAGCACCAGTCAATAGAGGGTTTGGTCGGAGGTCCACGAAGGTTTTAGGGATATTCGGTGATCACTCATTCATTTGCTTTCTGGATCATACATTGTACCACGATTTGCACTCCTTGATTGTTCTCATAGTATAGTAATAGTGTGCATATGTAATTGATACCCCCACATGCCGCAATGTTTATTTTTCATGGAATGATACTGGTGGATCTTGAGACATTCAATAGATATTAGCTGCCACAGAAGTCTGTGAAAACAAAGTTATGTTCCTATCAGATGAACAGGTAAGTTTGCAAAGTGTACAGCAGACCGATGCAATCTGTCTCGCAAATGAGGCTGTTAAAGGCGGCAAGCTCGTTCAGGAAGCGTGTCAGATACTATGTTATTCCGCGTAGAACTACATCGAGTCCAGACACCTCCACAAGCTGGGTGACCCTACTAGCTAACCAAAGTGTGTACACAATGAAACTTATCATGTATCCGCCGGCGACCCAGTCGCAATACCTCCGTATTCTGCAAGCGTCCCAGTCTCTCGAAGAGTACTCGTAGGACGCACCGTTTCCACCTCAACTGCCCCATTCCGAGGAATACTTATGTCTCGACCTATGCTTCTTCCACCTAATAGAGGAGTACGATCACCAGGAAGAGGTAACGTGGATTGAGAATTGGCCCGGCTACCCCGATATTCAACGATCCTAAATATTTCCGCCCGTTTCAATGCACTATAAATGATGTCGGTGTATGAATACTACTCACCCACGCATGACCGTCGCATTTTTCAAGCGTCTGGCACGACGCTTACTCTGATTATCTTCGTACCTATCCGTCTCATCCACAATCTCTTCTGAGATGATTTCCTACCAATAAAGAGTCAGTGAGGCCCATTGTAAGAGTGCAGATATAAACCTCTATAATATCTAAGTTGTGGCGGCATATATATATAAGCTCAATTGCACGAATATTGTAACAACGCACCTTCGAGTGTGACGACTCCAATTGCACCTCCTTCTTGACCCGGCGTGTTGCTTAAGAGCAATAGATGTGCACGGCCTGTTTGACTAAAAATTCAAACGTAAATCGACGATACAAGGGTTAGACACGCCAAGCATACAAATAGTCCAATGCTTGGAAGCAATTGATCGATGGATGCGCTTCGGGCAATATTGAGAGAGGGAATTTGGAAACAGGGAGACATTGTGACGGATCATATACGGAGAGCTATCGGCATGCGCAAATAAAATAAAACGATGAAGTAGCTGTTGTAGAAGGCATACAAAATAAAATACCTTTTTTATGAGCAGCAACCCCACAAATGCCATGGGCCTGCCTGGCCTATGCACCGGAATGCGCGAATAGCCGCTGCTCAAGCTGAGTGGATAGTGACCCAATGTCAGCCATCATCGTCCATAAATCAGTGGCCGTCTTACATATAATGTACTGTATCGTGGTCCAAAACCTTGTCAGAACTGATGGTCACTACATCCTAGATAGAAGTCAGCAAAAGAAATCGAAAAAATAAGGTCTCCCTACCGCCATAGGAGTCATGATGGATTCGACATGTTTATTGTTAAGTTCAAGGACACCGTTGAGAATACTGATTTCATCATCCCTCAGCGGCTCTTCTCCCTGACGATGGAACGCAAGAAAAGACCTAGGACGGTGAATAGTCGAGTTCCGAGACATGTATCTCGAGCGACACTCACTTGAGCTCTGCCTTTTTGTATGTGTGAGCTTCGTTGATTCCGAGAATATAGTCAAGGAGCTTTGCTATAGGATACGCAATAGGAGCTTCCAAAACCAAATTCAAGATCGTGTCGGGAACGATTGTAAAGTACGCACCAAAGAGATACATCATCCCCAAAACAATGGGAGCGCATGAGGCACCTATTGAAAGACCATATCGGACGCTCACTGCCTGTGGTATGATTCTTTGGCAACGAGCCCGAGAAACATGAGGAAACTCGACAAAACCCTCATATGCAATTACTCACTCGCTATTTTTGTGTGCAGCCAAATGGTTGAGGGTCAGGGGACCTGGACCTGAGGTAGCAAATTATGACGAACCCGAAGATGACTAAAAAAAAAACACAAGTAAGCCAACCAATCCATACATCACGATGAAAACAAGATGAAGAATTATCCGCCAGACCACTACCTCCGAAGTCCAGGAACCTATCTAACCACAGGGAGAAGGATGATCCGGGGTAAAATGCTTCGTCCACACAAATACAAAGCAGAAAGCCTGCTAACTGAAGAGTGAACCTACCTATCGTTGTAGTTGAGATGATCACGGCAGCCAAGCCCCCACCAAGCTACAACAGGAGCATTTAGCTTCCACTCGGATATTGAGAGTGAGGAACACTCAATAATACATACAGCACTGTCTAGAAAGATGGGCAAGCTCTCATTGACAATCTTGGAGCTTCCATGAGCATAGATTTTATTGGAAGCGAAACATCCACATACAACATTGCCCAATAAGAGAACCTGCAATTATAAGCCACCAAACTGTCGCATCTGTCAGTGTGAACGCACCACAAGCACCCAATGGCGGCGGTGAGCCAACAAGCGAAGAACTAGACTTCCCAGTAAAAATTCTGTCAAAATTTCGAAATTCAGGCGAACCTGTCTGGGCATTTTGCCTTTCTCTTGGATCATCCGAGGATGCGGCGAGGACACGGAGATGAAGTTCATCTAATCCCATGAGACCGAGAGTCAGCCTGCATAGTATCGGAGTAGTACCAACGTTAGCCATCTCTGTCGTGATTTCTCTAACTTTTCCCGCACCCAGCAAAGACACCACCTGCGAGGACAAGGCCAATACTAATGACTAGCTTGTACCAGAAAGCTGTAGACCCGGGTTGCTCGCCTCCTGCTTCCACGGGGTCGACATACATGTTGTAGAAAGAGGTGTGAAGTGTGAGATTAGAGCAGGGTTGATTGTAAGGTAGAGAAGAAGGGATGCCGTTAAGTAGGCCTGAGAGAGGGTCCGACCATGGCCGTGGCATGAGACCATGACGCCCGTCGGAGCGCGACGCGCCGGATCACATGATGCGCGTCTCAGACCTTGATCCCGAGCTGCTCGGACTCGAATGGCGAAACCATCGCAGTCTGCTCTCGTCTGCGCTAGCTTACATGCGTCTTGTCTTCCGCTCCCTGTCGCGCATCCATCAGCTTGTTCAGAAAAGATCCGCGAGCACATTCCCTAAGTCTCCCCATCCAAGAATGTCCGAACCACCGATTAGACCTCACTCACCCGACGGCAGTGTTTTACAGCAGCGTCCGGAGAAGAAACCTCGCCTCGAATCTTCCCTCCGTGCATCTCCGGATAACAAAATGCTCAATTCAGATAACACCACGCAGCATGGCTCAGTGAATAATTTGGAAGCCGACACCGGTCTTGTGATCCAGCAAGCGACCGCTGCGACGAAGGTCAAAAACACCTCCCGCAAGAACAAGTCAAAGCACAAGCGCATGGTTCCAGAACCCTACACGACAGAATTTGTTGTAGCTCGAGATGCCGCTTTGCTATTGGGGAAAGAATCTGTCGACAGAGCGTCTGCCGATGCGACGGATTGGAACGCCCCTTTCGAACCACGGGAAGAGGTTGAACTTGTTGTTTCCTGTCTATCTTCCACTGGTGTGTACCTGTCAATTGTTCTTATCCTTCCAATCAAATTTTGTATCATTGTGCTGGTTGTCCGACGGCATTAGCGTGGCGGATAGTATATCCTTCAGCATCAGACAGTTTCTAGCATGATACGAACCTTAAAACGACTTCATCACTATCGCACCGCGTGCGGGATTTATGCGAAGTTTATGCCTCATACATTTGTTATACGGGCTTGGAAGTGTTCCTCATGCTGTCAGCCCAGGTGATTCACTATCCCTCGCTCCCTCGCCCCGGAAACCGTGGGTTGTTGTCACTCCGTTAGCGTTACCAGGAGAAAGAATACGCGTCCGAGTGTACAGGCATGCTCGTCTATACTCCTACGCGGATCTGCTAGAAGTGATCACTCCCAATGCGGACTGGCGGGATATGACAAGAGTGCAGTGCAAGTATTTTGGTAAGTGTGCTGGATGCCAATATCAAGTGCGTGCGCCTTTTCCCTATTAGTCTTAGACGGACATCCAAAGAATGAACTCCTTTGTAGATGCTTTCGTATGACAGGCAGCTCGATCTCAAGCGCAATGTTGTTGTAAAAGCATACGAAAACTTCTCAGGTGTGTTTTTGAACATCTACCCTCTCTATAGTCGCTAATCCTATGGAAGGCCTATCTCCATCATCCATACCTGTAGTCCGTTCTACGATCGCTTCTCCATTGCAATACGGATATAGAACTAAAATTACACCTCACTTTGATGCACCGCCGAAGAAAGCTCAGAAGGCTGCTGTAAAACCAACAGTTGACTCTATGGATAGACCGGATTGGCTCAGAATAGGCTTTAATCGGATAGGGACAAGGCAGGTAATGGATATTGAGGTCAGTCTATGTGTTTCGTTATGAGACAAATTTACTTAGGATCAATCCCAAATCAGGAATGTCCCATCGCGACACCCATTTTGAATGAGACCCTTGGTCCTCTTCGCGAGCGTATCACTGCGTAAGTTATTCTTCAGTGGACGGCGCCGCAGTCTGACACATGAAATCCATAGTAATATTTACACATACAAGAAGGGTGTTTCCTTACTGCTACGGGACTCGTTAGAGCCTCCACCATCTGAGACGCAAGGGGAGCCACCGGCAAGCTTCGCTAACGCCGACAGTTTGTCTGTGGCACTAGACAAACATGTCTGCATCACCGATCATAAAGGTAGCGTTCGCGAACGCGTTGGAGACAAGGTTTTTAAATACACCGCCGGGTCATTCTTCCAGAATAATAATTCTGTTTTGGTCCCTTTGACATCCTACGTAAGGGATGCTATCTTCCAATCGTCTACGTCCTCCATATCCTCATCGCTCCGTCCTACCCATCTCGTCGACGCATACTGTGGTAGCGGGCTCTTTGCCATCACTCTTGCCCCTCACTTCGACAAAGTCACTGGCATCGAATTATCAGAAGATTCTATCCGATGCGCAACACATAGCGCGGAGCTGAATCATCTTCCTCCTAAAAAATGTACTTTCATGGCAGGCGACGCGTCCAACATCTTCGCAACTGTACAAGGATTCCCCAGGGATCAAACTGCCCTCATTATCGACCCACCGCGGAAGGGCACAGACGAGAAATTTATCGATCAATTGCTGCAATTCAAATGCGCGACCGTGGTGTACGTGAGCTGCAACGTCCATACACAAGCGCGAGATATTGGGATGATCTTGCGGAAGTCAGAGATGATGGAAGGGCAGAGATATGTGCTCGAAAGTTTGGTAGGGTTTGATCTGTTTCCACAAACTGCACATGTAGAATCAGTTGCGGTTTTACGGCTTGTATGACAGTGACACGTTTCACGGTCTAATGCAACCAGGAACCTATGTGTTTGCGTCTTATAATGAGTGTGCTGCTAAGCTGTTGTTGGATATGGACGTGGGTTCACACCAATCGCTGGACTTCAACTTCCAACGGTATTGAGCGAACCTCGGGATGAGATATGCTGAATGCAAGGCGAACAAAATCCAGACGATTCCGTCACGAGATGAAATTATGCTTAACTATTGTAGCCAAGGCTGCGCGCATAATCCCGCCAAGTCTAGGATGACTCTATGGGGACATTGCCCAGACTTTCTCCCATTTTAACCTTCTGCCCTGGTTGGACGACGAATTCGAAATCCTTGGGGGCCTCGAAAACAAGCACGACGGTGCTGCCCAAACAAAATCCTCCCATTTCCTCTGCTTTAGTCAGTGGCTGGCCTCTCAAAATGGGAGATGCCGCGGTGTATACTGCTTCTGTGTACGTTCCAACCGGTGGGGACCGCCTCGCGGCCACGTTCGTGCGTAGAGCCTGTTTTATGACATTAGCTCGCAATCGCTGGATGTTCGTCAACTACATCAGACTCTTACCTGATCAAACTTGATTTTGATGCTACCAACATTAGTCGCACCAACCGGCACCATACTAAAGAACCCGTATCTCCAGCGACCCAGTAATGCGACACGTTCATTAAGAACAAATAGATTTTCCAGCCGCTTCACCATCCAGGGGGAAACAGAGAACAAATCGCCTGGCCATATTCAAATCCAGAGTTATTGCACGTCGAGAAAAAGACATCAAGTATGCACATACCTACAAAATGCCTCCTCTTCTCGACTACCCAAGCTGTTGGGCTATGAAATCTATGATAGTCTCCAGGAGCGAGGTAAATCACAGCGAAATATAAAGCATTGCCAGCCTTTACAGTTGAAATAGATCTACTTTGGGCGCGTTCTAAGAAAGGCCGAGCACCCATTTCAGCCGCTACTGAGGCCTCATGCGCGACGACCTCAGTGAGAGTTGCATCAGGAGAGACAGAGGCATCCACTTGTTCACCATGCTTTGTTGCGGGCGGCTTTGACAAGCTTGACAGTGAGTTCAGTGGGTGCTGTTTCCCATCATCTTCTGTAGTCGGCGTTGTAGTACCCGAGGAGGTTGGTGATGACGGTTTTGAGCTGCCCAATAATTCTTGAAGGCTATACTCGATGCCATTTATGTCTGCGAAAGTCCGATCGTGTACTTCGGCCATGTCTCGTTGGGGGAACTTCACGTCAGCGGGCTTGGGAGAATCCGGCCTCTCGATACCCAACAGAGCATCGAGGGAATAGGTACTCCCCTTGATCTGCTCGACTCGTCCGTTCTTTATAGTCCCAAAATGTAGCACCTTCCCATCCGCTGGACTAACCTATAATGTCCATAGGAATACACCCATAAAGATGAGCACAGTCGTAACAGCATAAATGAACGACATACCAATACAGAGTCTGCTATGGGGCGCGCGCCCTCTTTCAAACTTCTGTAAAAGAAGTCGCCCATACTAGCATACCGTGTAAGATCCTCCGGCTCGATCTCGCTGAGGTCACATCCAAATATCCAAGCATATGCCCGAAAACCTGTAGGACGGAACCACACAGGGAGCTCCAGGGAATTCAAATAACCCCATAAACGGGAAAGGTTCCGTAAAGGCAGAGCTCCCAAGACGTGAACCTAGAAGTTAAATGATGAGTTTCGTGATGTATGCATTGATACATGTAAGTGAAATGGCGCAAGTAACATAAGGTTCAGAATGTGACTAGCCAGATGCGAATGATATATAGGATGGTGACGCACCTGCCAAGGGCCCTTGACACGGACAATTTCCTGACCATCCTCATCTACATGAACTTCTCGTCTGTCCGACTGTTTGCGGTATTGAAGAAATATGAGGAGGAGCGCCCCCATAGCGACCGGAAGAGGGTACCATTCTGTGGAGGTATGCCTCCAAGCATGAGCAAGTCTTCCTGGTGAACGGCTCAGTTTGAACATAGATATTCATGGAACGAAAGTGAAGCGTACGGTATAATGGCGCACTGCGCATGTTGCTACTACCGGGGGTATCGTTGCTGCCGGAATGCAAACGACGAAGAAAGCCACACGATAGCACAGTGAGGCTGCCCCTTGTGCCTGTATCCAGCTGGCACACAGACCGACGGGCAGCACCTAAGCGGCGGCCGAAATAGGCGGACTTGTTAACCAACATCTCATCGGGTTGAGGGTCAGTCTGGGCAGAATGGACTTGTGAGTCAGTGGTCGATGTTATTATATGATGTCAAGCTTGAGTCTCTAAGAGCGCCCGTATTTCGGGCATCTCATTTGATTCTTCAACATGGTGGTAGCAGAATACATGTAATACAAATAATACAACAGCTATAGTCTAGCAACGCCCATCAATACATCACGCATACTGCAATGAGAGACATCATCAGCATCGAATCTACCCATCAACAAAACATAACTTACCCTCGTGAAAGTCCCCATCGTCATAAATGTTTCTTTTTTCCTCCCGCCCTTTGGCCCGTACAACGACTTCACAGCGTCGCTCATCGTGGCTTTACGCTTGGCCTCCTCCTCAGCAAGACTGTTGGTGACAGCTCTGCTCGCCGCAGCCATACTAGGGTTGGTGCTTGGAACGAGAGACGTGTGTGTTTTCTTCGCCACCGGCCCTTCAATGTCCACTGTATCTACATGGGCTTTCCGCTTCTTCCCTTTCCCTTTTGCCGGTTCTGAAGCACGTTTAAGCTCCATAGCCTCTCGCATCTTCTCCTCCTGCTCTACGGAAGGATTGAGCATGACGACGTCTGACCCCCGGTCATACTTCACGCCGCATTGTGGGCATAGCTCAAGTTCTGTCCCATGATGGTTTCTCTCGGATAATTTGCTCCTCTCGCTATTATCCAAATTCCCCTCCTCAGAGTCTGGCGAAGCTGTGCTAGATACAGCCTTCAGTCCAGCCTGAGAGAAGACGCATCCGCAAGTAGACAGATAAACAAACGGTTGCGAGCCGTTCATTTCCTTGATATTTAATGGGCAGACAAAAGCAGCTCTATCAGGGACTGCATCACCTGCAGATGTCTTGCTTGTGTTGTGTGCCAGCCTCAGGGTCTTAACATCCTGAACAGCACGCCACGTTAATGGAACGTTGGAGATAAAGAGAGGCCACACCCACTTTCAATGACCGAATATGACCACATATATCCTCGCCATCTCCGTACGCAGATCTATCGAGTAGATACTCTAAAATCGAGTCCTTGTTGTAAAGTTTGCCTAAAGCACACGATACAACGGGCTCCTGCAGAGGACGCTGAACATGAAGATGTTAAATAACCCCTATATAAGTGCAGCTCATACTATTGCTAACCTTCGAAAGAGCACAGAAGAACCATCGTGCACGGGTTTGATTTGCTTTATCTGCCTGTTCAGCCTATGATGTGGGCGTTAGACCAAGCTGCGCGCTGGAACCGTCGAAGTCTCACCTTTGGCTTGTTCCTGACTAAATCTCTGCGGTCTGGTATACTTCCACCATCATTTCCCATGTTTTCTAGCCCTTGAGTTGGTACAGATAGCTGGATACGAGATTGACCGAAGAGTTATGGGGCGAGCAAGCTGACTTCTCCCAGCGGCTTTCGGATTCCTTAGACTGGCGTAGAGCACGTGTTTATGGATTGGATCTTCAGATCGCAGCCGTTGTGGCTGGAGGCACCAGTCACAGTCCGATTATTATGGCCGTCAGGTTAAACTTACCCAACTTGAAGCTCTCGCAATTGCTTGCTTGACCTTGCGAATCAGGACTCATAGCACGATTATATCTTTACGTTTTGCAGCGTCATGCTGCAAGAACTTTCTCATATGGACCGCATCACACAGCTTCAAGATGAGATTCAGCAGGTACGCAGTCCATTGCTAGGGAACTCATAGAACTTACTCAACCCCGCAATCAACAGCTCCTCACCATTATGTCTAATAGCGTAGCATATCTCACTTCGCGCGCAAACTTTCTTCAGGTCAGCCCTGACGTGCCAGTCACAAAACAGAGAAAGGCAGAGAAATTCGACTCCCCGGATGTGTTAGAAGGCGAGTTTTACTAGCAGCATACGTTGGTCGTACTTTGTCTCATGAATAAAATTTAGCAAATAAACGAGAGCTTGTGCGGGATTTGGTTGTGAAAGCCAAGCAGATTGACTACCTGATCCAATCTCTGCCTGAGCCGGAGTCCGAGGAAGTACAGGTGAGGATCAGGCCATCACGGTACCACCATGGAGTTCTGAAGCCAACCATATAGGCGGGGCGGTTAGAGTGTCTCGAAGAGGAGATGACGGAAGCTAATACAGACTATGTCCGAGCTGTCAATCGTGCCAGTAAGTGCTCATGTTTCTCGTTAATCAAAGCAGTCGAATAATTATATCCCTGCATTCGCCTCCAGAACACTTACACCAGCAAATATCGGATGTTTTGCGTACAATGCTAGACGAGTCAGATTTGATCGACGAAATGCCTGGTTAATCTACAGTCTTCCGCATTACATTTTCAACGCGGCTTTACGTGTACTACCTGTATGATGATCCATCCTGTAAGTCCGCCACCTTTATCAGCTGACCGTTCAGGTTCTATAAACATTACAAATAGCGACACTAATCCTTTAACACATTCGTGATTGAAACCTGTATGCCTCACAACTTGATGCACGCCGGAAACCTCAGTTTTGGCCTGCCACTAACGGTTGAAAAGTAAATCTGTGATTGGATTTTGTTGTAATTCTTCGGGAGAGAGCGAAGCCTATAGGCATTGGGTACCATATACAAGTGCGGGGGTTATGCTGTTGCATTAGCCTTTGAACGTTGCGATTCAGCTGGTGCCTCGTCGGACGCGAGTGGTTCAATGCGTGAGCGCGCAAAGCCTGAATACCTCTTCGATCGCCTCAGCCTGGAGTTATCAGCTTCTTGCCACCATGGCCGATGTATATACGCTCTTAACTCTCCCTAGTACATCCTCTGCATTCTCTGCGTTGTCGACTCGTATCAATGTCGTAGAGCCTGGGTCAGCATCTCCTCCCCGCAAGGTCGCTCGTTTGGACGCCGACTCAGATTCCGCCTCTGCGTCGAGACCGAAAACACATTCCGCAGGCAGTTTTTCTGCCATAGGAGCGTCGCTGGAGCTGAAAGTATTTGGAGCTCCCAGTGAGTATCGTGATTCAAATTATGACGGTGTTTCTTGGCCTCATACTTTCCAGTCAAGTTGATTGTAGATACTCGAGGTGATAATGACTTTCGCTTGGTCAAGCAGAACTGCCGTGCTCTTCTCGCCAGGGGAACTCATGAGAAGCTCTCAACGAGCCTTAATGACATATATAGAGCATGTCAATCAGTGGTATTAGTATATGGCAAGGGTGAGGGGATCTACGAGAACGTCAAGATTGAACTGGAGAGATGCATCGGCGGTCTATCGAGTGAACTCCTTGGGAACAAGTCCCAAGATACCGAATGGCTCATTCCGTTCAACGATGCCTGTGCTTGGTTCGAGAAGCAAGTGGTATGCTTGACCCATCCAGCTCTAATTGTATTGCAGATCCACTCAACTTCACTCTAATTAGGGCCTTCTACAATCATCACTGGCCTATTTAGACAGAGTATATGTACAAAGCAAGAAAGATCTTCCTACTATAAGGTGTGCGCTAGGGTTTATAGGCAATTGTTTCTTGGTACTCAGCTAAATGCTACAGGCGACTAGCATTTGAGCTTTTTGCGAGGGAAATATTGGAGAATGCGAGCATTATGCAGAGGCTTCAAGCGAGTATCAGATCATGGATTGAGTGGGAGCGAATGGAACGGTGTGTTATATTCCTCTTAATTCGAGCATGTTTGATGGTGTTGTCGTCAGAACCCCCCATAAGCTTCGTGATTGCATTCCTGAACTCAATCGACACCTTTTCAACCACGGCCAATTTCACGTTATCTTCGAATCACTCTACATGAAGCTTACTCATGCGTTCTATGTCAATGAATCGAACGAATTCGTTCAGAATGCGAAGAATACCGCGACAGACTTCTTGCAACATTGTAACCAGCGGCAGGTAGAAGAAGAGCAGAGAGTAGATGCTATTCTTCCTAGTTTCGTTAAAGAGGAAGTACTGGACACCACATATAGAGCGCTATTGAGTGGCCGGTTGGATTGGTTAACGAAAGGTGGTTCGTTGCTTCATGCTTGCGCTTTGTGAAAATAATTGACTGGTTACGTAGCTCTGGGAGGTCTTATGGAGCAGAAGAAAGAGAAACAACTGGGGATAATGTATCGTTTGTTTGCCCGTGTGGATGGTCTGAAGGTGCTTTGTGGTGCCTTCAAACTACATGTGCAGGTATGTTATGGGGTCGTTATTCGTCATTTGAAGCCTCAGCGTTTCCGCAGATTACGGCGCGGGACATCGTCAAAGACGTCGAACGTGACGAAGACATGGTGCACCGGCTCCTTGAGTTCAAATCTTTCTTAGACCGCCTGGTTGCAGCTGTTTTCGTCGATGAAATTACAGTACACCCTGTGGAACCAATGAAATCACCTGCGAATGCTGGGCCTTCTAGTGCAGGGCAAGGCAGTTTGACGAAGAAAGTTCCGAACAAAGAGTTTAGCTATGCCCTCATTGATGCATTTCAATCCGGATTCAAGGCCCGTCGAAACAAACCGGCCGAAATGATCGCCAAATACATTGATAGGGCTATGCGGAAGGGTCAGAAGGGCAAGAAAGACGAGGACTTTCAGGCCGAACTTGACGCGGCACTGGGCTTGTATCGGTTTACCGACGATAAAGACGTCTTCAGAACGTTCTATCACCGCGCACTTGCCAAGCGATTGCTGCTGGAGCGATCTGCATCTGATGATTTCGAGAAGGCTATGCTTAAACGGCTCAAAGAGCGTACGTCCTTGTATATCCTCCTCACGTTCAATTTGGCCTCAATCGTTTCCACAGAGTACGATCCTGAATTTGGAATGGGTGATCATATGTTCAACGATCTTGCGCTCTCTCGGGACACGATGCGTGAATATATCGAATATCGTTCTCGCTTTGGAGAGGTTGCACAAGCATCGGCTCAGAAACTCTCAGTCATGGTTCTTCAGCGTAGCTTCTGGCCCTTCACTTCTCGGACGCATGACGTCGACATCTCATCTTCGGTAAGAGTATTTCATTTGTCGTCTACTTCCAAACAGAGACCTGACCGCGTGTGTGTAACTGGCTATAGATGCAAGATGAACTTACGAAGTATCACAATTTCTACAAGAACAAGCATCAAGGTCACAAGCTTGACTGGGATCATGCCCTTGGTACGGCGACACTGAAGGCCAGGTTCAAAAACGGTGAAAAGGAGCTTTCTGTTAGTTTGTATCAAGCACTTGTCCTCCTATTATTCAATGAGAGCCCCGAGCTGTCGTTCAAAGAAATGAAGACGCTAACCCGTATGGGTAAGAATACGCCTTACGATTGTGAAAGCCACTGTCTGAATCCTGCGTTATTGTAGAGGATACGGAGCTCCGACGAACGCTTCAGAGTCTTGCGTTGGGCAAAAAGCGAGTGCTCAGGAAGGTGCCAGTGGGCAAGGACGTGAATGATGACGATACATTCCATTTCAATCTGGACTTTACAGACCCTAGATATCAAGTTCATATCAACTCAATTCAAGTCAAGGAGACGGTATGTACAACTTCAGATCAGCCAAGATTCTGCTTTTTTCTACTTATAAATATGCTACAGGCCGAAGAGTCGAAACGCACGCAGAGCTCGATTGAAGGTGATCGGAAACATGCCCTTGATGCCGCGATCGTACGGGTGATGAAGGCGAGAAAGGAGCTGTATTATGAACAGCTGAAGACGGCCACCATTGACGCAGTCAAATCTCACTTTGTCCCAGAGGTCAACATGATTAAACAGCGTATTCAGGGATTGGTGGAACAGGAATACTTGCGGAGAGACGAGGACGATATGAGTTTGTACATCTACGTGGCTTAGACTTTGTTGTTTGAGCTTAGCCGAAACCGTTGTCGTGAAGCTGTGCTTCCCGTCTGCTGTAACCGTAAGCATCTTGTCTCAACTTCCGAGTCCCTCTTGAACCACGTCTGAGCTCGTTGGACCCCGGACCCCGGTAGATGAAACTGAAGAGCCGACGACATTTCCTAAAGGGGGCTAGGTAAGGGCACGTGGTACCTCCACTAGGCAGCTCGGTGGCTCTCGAGAAGTGGCGATTTCAGTTCTTGACACTTGTTGCCGTCAAGATGGCTTTCATCCTTGACCATGAACCACCATGTCCCTCTCATCGTCTCCTCCTCCTCCGCTGGCCCATACTGGATCAACTCCGGCTGCAGAGGAATCACCTATCTGCGTTGGCCAGCGTGTCCGCTTTGACGTAGAATGTGTTCTTATCCCAGATCCAAATCCTGTGTCTAAAATGCCCCGCCTCGTCACAAAATCTTACTCGGTTCCCCTATGGAGACGTCGAGCTTTGGAGTCTGCTGTCTCTGATTCCGAGACAGACATAAGGGACGATGATCTCGTCATCCTCAAGGTCTCCGTGCCCAGGTGATTGCACTAAGCCCTGCTTGACCGTTAGCGCACTCTGAAGATATTCTAGCCTCGTCATAAAACCTCGTTCCCTGACCAGATCGGAATCCCTACGGCAGCCTCTGACACCGTGCATCGTGAACAGGGACGCTATCTGTGCTTCGGTTCCCGCTTCAGCCTCTGCGGGTCCGCAAGCGCGTAGGTTCCACGCCCGCTCCGCTTCGTGTCCACGGCGCGATCTCGTGACAGTACCGCTCCGACCATGCTGCCCCAACTGCTTCCATTCCACCGACGACTGTCTTCAACAAGGAGCGCATTGGCAGGAGAAATTCACCAAGGGCGCCCAGCGTAAGAGGAGCGCTAGTTTGGACGCACCATCCGGCACCCGTCTTCGTCGGCGCCTGTTGGATGTCATGCCCGGATTCGACGCTGTCATTGCCGTGGATGAAGTTGACAGAAAATGCGGGTCGCGAGCAAGTTGGGTGAACATTGACGACCGAGACGATGACGGAGTTGCACCCTACCTCACTCCTGCGGAACGAGTTGTTGTCACGGATGTTCGGATGGTAGAACATGAATGTTCTGGTCCCGTCGTTGGCACAAGGCGCGCTTTCCCCTCTTCATCCCCTGTGTTGGTTTCACTTCCAGTTGTTGGAGACGATGCACTCCCCTTGTCCGTCGCCCGGACTGACTTTTCGCGACTCCAATACGCCGAAGTGGACCGCAGGCATGCGCTGTACCTTGACCCTCTTATATTTGATGAGCTTGACTTATCCCTCATTAATTCGATACCCTCTCTTGACGCTCACATATCTGCGGATTCTACTGTTACCCATATACCCCAACCACATTCGCCTCCGAGATCTGCCTCAGCTCGCGCACCGTCCCCGATGTCACCGCCGTACACGCATGAGAAGTTTGTGCGGCCTGCGCCGTCAATAGGAACTCTACCCTCCGCAACCTCTGGGCGACGACGACCGTATATGCAGCTCCTGGGACCTGGATCGTTTCTCAAGGTATCTGCTGAAATTCTCAAGGGTGTCAGCATGAGCGGAGGGGCGCCATTGTCGGTCTAAAAGCTCACTGTGACTGCACTTGCGATAGTGCGCCTAAGTTGTCCTTATTGCGCTTGTCATCACATTGTTTCTGCTCATGTGAGTCTTCTATACCGGAGGACGAGTCAGACCGTGCGCTGACGCCTCTCCCAGTAGGAATTGCTTCTGTGCATGCTGTATTAATAAACATTTGGATAGCATATGTGACTGTTCATTGCCACGTATATATTATGCTGCCCTGCTACAGTGGATCAAATTATCTTAAAACTGAGAGCGACCGATGGTCTGATGGAGACCCATCTGACAAACGCTAGGACAGCCATCGCTATCGAGAGGCATGGCGATGGTACATTTGAGAAGATGGACCTTGTATGCTACCGACATGGATCAGACTGGGCTGAATTGTGCCAATCAGTCAAGATGTGTTGTAGCATGAGGAGCTGGATCAGTCGGAGACAGGCCATCTGTCGACTGTGGGTACGCATAGCACCGATATCACACCATCTGGCGGCAGCTGGATGCTAGCTGGATACCGCTGAGGACGACGCGCGAGGGTGAGCGGTATCTGGTGTGTTAGACCGCTGTAGGCCTGGTCGACAACGATGCGTCAGTGGGCGGCGTGGTTTGGGACGAATTACAACCGCGTGATCATTGCGTCGGTGGTGGCGGGCGCCACAACGTGGCAGCCGGTGGGATCACGTCGATTGGCGAGCGTCGATGTTACACACGAACGGGTATTTTTGCCAGGTCGGACCGCGGCAGTGGGCAGACAAGAGTCAAGCAGAGATGTGGTTCACTGGTCGTTGCACAGCCGATCCGCGCCCAGGATTGCTCACAACGTTGAGGAACAAGAGACGGTTGGCACAGGCCGTGCCTGTCGGAGCGACTGTGATGACCGTATAATTGGAGCGCATGCAGGCCTGAGAAACACAGGCGCTTATTATACGGGCGCCAATCGTGCTGCTGCTCCCGAGTCCCGACGCCGTCTCCTCTCGCCGACTGGCTCCTCCTCCTCCTCTGCCTGCTTGTTCTCTGCTGGCGCCTTCGGGCACTGTTCAGTGAGTCCCCCATCCTCCCCCTGTTCCTTGTTGCTCATCCGACCTCCTTCCAGTAATCTGTTTTCATTTCTGTCCTGTTGGGAGTCGTCAACGCTTGCTTGTCCATATCTCCCTTGAACTTTCCCTTCCTCGTCCCCCGTATTCCCACTGTTTACCCTCGTTCTCTCTTTATTTGTGACATATCGCCATGGGTGCATGTTTGTCGTCGGGTCCCGTGGACGTGAACGATGAGGACAAGAGGAGACATAGGGAGGCAGAGAAAAGTCTCAAAGAGGTATTTCCCTCCGCCTTGTCCCCCGCCATGAGCATGCTGAACACCCATCTCTTAGGCCAAGGCGCGCTTGGCAAAGCAGGTCAAGGTCCGGATCTCGTTTCTACTTCCCCAACGGTATTCACTCGTGCTCATCTTCCTTTATAGGTCCTTCTCCTTGGGTCCGGCGATTCCGGCAAGTCGACCATCCTCAAACAAATGCGCCTCATCCACCACGTCCCCTTTTCACCTCAAGAGGTCGAATCGTACCGTCAGCTCGTATTCAACAACCTCACTCACGGGCTCAAGTACCTTTTTGATGCCATGGAGGACATGGAGCTTTCTCTAACACCAGAGAACGAAGAATTGGCCCAGATGATAAGCGAAGCGCCCGACATCAAGGATGGAGAGCCATTTCCCTCGGAGTATCTCGAGCCATTGCGGAAACTGTGGGAAGACCCTATCGTTCAGAAAGCATGGGAGAGGGGAAACGAAGCTGCGTTACCAGACAAGTGAGTCGCTTCCGGAGCTCTAAGCCGTGTTCACCGAGCCAACGGCAATCTGTCCAGCCTTGTCTATTACTTTTCGGACCTGGATCGATTATTCGACTCCGCATACACCCCTCACGAACAAGATATCGTTCAAGCGCGTGCGCGTACGATTGGAATTACGGAGACGATCTTCCAGTTAAAGGATCATGAGATGCTTATGGTGGATGTCGGCGGTCAAAAGAGCGAGCGACGAAAATGGATACACTGCTTCCAAGACGTCACAAGCATCCTCTTCTTGGTCAGTCTCAGTGGTTACGATCAATGTCTAGTCGAAGACAAGGATGCGGTAAGATGCTTATTTCTCCAATGACGATAGGTCACTAATTACAGACACTAGAATCAAATGCAGGACGCGATGACAATCTGGGATTCCATATGCCATTCGCAGTGGTTCAAACAAACGTCCATCGTGTGTAAATTTACTTCATATGAGACGTAAACAGCTTATATGCGCTTCAGATCTTGTTCTTAAACAAGAACGACCTATTTGAGAAAAAGGTCGAGCACTCAGATATAAAAAATTTCTTCCCGGTACGTTGGTCGTGAATTTGGTAGTTCCTCCCGTCATACCTTCCCAACTTCAGGATTACGACGGCGAACCAGGCGACGCACGTACGGGTCGAGAATATTTCAAGAAACGATTTGGTAGGTTAGCGCAGAAGGCAGTTCAGAAAGAAAGAGATGTATACATTCAGTGCGTAATCGTCCTGCGTTGTAGTGTGTCTTGTTTGATGTCATGCGGCTGACGCCACTTTCAAGCACCACCACCGCCACAGACACAAACATGCTTCGAATAGTAATGGCTGCCGTTGAAGGCGAGTGTATGTTTCACATATTCATTGATTTGATTGGCTGACGTCATTTAATCAGAGTGAGTGTTCATCCCCCTTCTACCCCTCCCCCAATACCTTTGTTCGGGTCCAAAGCACCAGATGGTTAATTGCGCGACCAAACCATTTCTCAGCATTATTCTTCGGCAAAGCCTTCACACTGCGGCCCTCATCTAGTTTTTGTCCTATCTTATTTGTTTTCACATCCTTCACGACCTATTCCGGACTTTCACGCATCTGTAACGCTGTCCTACTTCCATATACATTCTACCCCTAATCTGAGGTCGCGTCTCGTTCGACTCTTGCTTTGCCTCGTTCCCGCACTTCAGCTTCCCTGTGCAATATGAACACCTTTCTTTTTATTTTTCTGGTACTCTGGTCAGCAGTATAACTCATCGATGTCTTTTTCTCCATCTGGTATTCTCCCGTGGCCGACCTTGGGAATATTCACGCGCCGCCCTGTCAATGTGTGTATGGGTTTATCGCCTCTCAGCACCATTATTAGCAACAATGTGGGTGCTTCCCACGCAGTTCCTGCGGTCATCCTCCATATCTCATATTTTGGGTTGCTCAGATTCGAGATATAATGTTGTAGTCCCTGTGGACGCCACGGCATCCCCGGGTGTCGCAGCTGGGTATCGATCATTCCAGCGAGGATTACGCGGCATCATGCTGTCCAAGCGGCTCGGTCGATGTTGTCACCACCGACTACTTAGGTGGCTGCCAAAGCCGAAGAACAGGAACAGCAGGTTGACAGCAGGTCCGACCTTGTCCTTGGCTGGGCGGTGCATAGCCATTACGTTTAACCGGAGTTTGCCATCTGTCATCACGGGTTATGATACCACCGTACTAATTGCACTTGCCCGGTACGCCTTCTGGTGTATATATATTATCTTATTTTCTACTTTTGCGCTCACGAGCGAGGATACTTCCCATATGTCGAGCACGCCCTAGGTTCGGTTCCTCATGGGTAATATATATCCATTCGTTCTTCATAGTCTGCTTCGCTTGGCGTTCGCGTCCCCCAATTGCCGGTTGCCCAACCACGATCATCGCGCGCTCCGCGTGCAATCTGGAATAAGCGCCTAGACAATAGCGCATGCGTCTGAGCGGCCGGTAAGCATTTAGCTGATATGTCAGGATAACTTCTTTCAGGATCAGAATAGAACAGATATATTCTGAGCGTTATTCCGCATAGATTGCATGCACGTGTGCCTCGGACATGCTCCCATGGCATAACTACTAGCTGAGTGTTACGGCCGGCCGCGCGCCTGAGCTACCAAACACCATCCATCTCAGCTCATCCACATCAGATGCCTGATCCACCAGTGACTTCGAGTGTGTGTCCTGATACGTAGGAGGCGAGCGGCGACGCGAGGCTAGTGGCAAAGATCCGCCGGTCAGCGATATGGCGATTGAATGATGAGAGGAGGTGAATCAATACTGACAAGAGAATGCCCGCTGCTGCTTCATCGGGAGATGCAGGTCTCCCGAGAGGAATGCCCGACGTAGCCGAAGCACCGCCACCCACGGCTTTCGGAATACCCAGAGCGACCTTCTTGCCGTCGATTTCGATGCTCGCGCCTTCCTCCTTGGCCGCCGTCAAACTTAAGAGGCAGTTGAGTTTGCTGTCAAACAGCGCAGTTAAAGCTGCCACACACCGAGTTTGGATATAACCGAAAGCAATAGTGTTCGCCCTGACGTTGAACGCACCCCACTCCTTACAGATAGTCTTGGTCATGCCAATGACAGCTGCCTTGGCAGACGCATAGTTGACCTGACCCACGTTGCCATGCAGACCGGCGACGGACGAAATGTTTACGATCGACCTGTTCTCTGTGTTGCCCTTCATGACATTTAACAGATCAGCGTATAAGAATCGGGGCAGGAATCCAGACCTTGATACGCATGTGCGGGGCAGCAGCACGAACGAGCCTAAAAGGCGCGCGGACATGCACCTTCATAATGATGTCAAACGCCTCGTCAGGGGTGGTATGAAGCATGCGGTCGTATGTGAAACCAGCGTTGTTAATGATGTGATTGATCTTTCCGTATTTTCTTGGAAACTGTCAAAAAACAAACAGTCTATATGCAATGGAAATCTGCACTGACTTGATGGTGGCCTCAATTACTTTCTGTGGGAAGTCGTCTGCACCGACATCACCGCCAACCGCAAGAGCATCGCCTCCTGCCTTCTTAATCTCATCCACGACTATTTGGGCTTTCTTCTCGTCCAAGCTGCATAAGTTTGTTTCGTGATGTGATCATGAGGGCAGGTAGATCGGTAGAGGCGAATACACACTCTGTGACTACAACCTTTGCACCTTCCTTTGCAAAGAGAAGTGCGGCGCTACGTCCAATTCCCTATCACAGTCATGTATGAGCCATCAAAGTTGGGCGTCCAGGAGAAATGATGCCAGTCATTCATGACCGACGTACCTGCGCGGCGCCTGAGGGTGTGACCGGTACAAATAAAATTGAGCAAACGATTCAGACAGCACAGCAAAGTGCTAGACGATGCAAACTGGAGACTTGGAGCAGGCCCCAGCGCCTCGTCCACACAACGAACCTGTAATGATCGCGACTTCTCCGGCCAATAGGCCGCGGCCATACGAGTTGGTGATATGGCCAGCAACTTGAGAGAGACGGTCAGTCATGTTGTTAGAAGAGGTTTGGGTAGGAAGAGGAGGAGAGAGAGAGAGAGAGAGAGAGAGATGTCGGCGTGAGCTAGGCCAACGCTGTGCTACTGTCTCCGGGAAATCATGTGCAATCCACCCTCGGCGTCCTCCCGGCGTCTATGCGGGGAACCTAAAGGCCGGGACTGGGCTTGTACCCAGTGAAAGTAGAGTCGACAAACACCTGAGCACGTCGATTTACGCTTTATGGCTCAGAATGCATGTACTTTGATAGGCTTCATCATACAAGAGGGTGCCGTTCTCCTCAGAGAGCGAAAGACTCAAATCCATCCTCGCGTTCTGCCAAATTATATATTCACATGATACATCCACGATTCATAGGAAGCCACCGCTTTTTCCTGACCCGAATCGGTCACTCAATCCCCTGGCATCCCGGATGAATTTCTCGCGCGACTTGTCGTCCATGAGCCGACCAGAAAGCGCCATATCCCTGGTGTGATCCCAAATAGCAGGCGGTCCCTCCTCGTCTTTGTCCTCCGATGGTGCCGCCCGTGCGTGCCGATCCAACAAGGTACTACCGCGGACCTTCCTCTGTGTAAGCCGCAATCCAGTCAACTATGTCCATCCGTGTTCAGAAAACAGGCGGAGACTAACCGTATGCTCCTCCACTCCTCGCCTCACTTCCTCCTCTTGTTTTCTTCGCTTCCTCATCTCCCTCTCTTCATCTGGGCTCATGGCATCGGCGTCCGTTACTCGGCGTCGTTTCCCCGCTACCTCGTCTGCGATCCGCTGTTGTCGCTCTGCAGGTGTCTCGGTCCACAGGGAATTATCAGAATTACGCGCTGGGGCGGCGCTGCGCGCAAACTGGCGTGGTCGTTTGAGTCGCGTGGGATCAATTGCTGGGCGGTGAGCGTACGCCATCATAAACGTTACTGGTCTGGACAACGGAAGAAAATGTGCATTCCAAGGCAGACTTACATTCTAACAAATCGGATGAGGACGGCGGGACAAGCATCCATTCCTCGCGCTTCAACGCTTGTGGTTTGCTCGCCTCCTGCAACAGACCCTGATCAGAATAGCCCGGAAGGATCAAAACCCTTCGCAACAAAGTTCATAGTGTTAGGAGTGCATCTCTATTCAGTTGACTCCTTCCATACTGGAAACGGCACGAGGCCTCTCGTCTGGTAACCCGTGTCCGCGATGGCGATTAGCGGCGAGACTGGATATTCTGACCATGGGCAGACAGGATAACCATGATGCATAAACATACCTGCAAACCGTAGCGGGGATTGAAAATTGAACAACATGGGAAGTGTCCGAGAATCACCGCACAGTGGCATATGTGATGCCTCATGGCCGAAAGCTTCGGTTCAATACAACGCATGTGTCTAGAGCCCGTTCTGTATAGCACAAGAGTGGAGTGGAGTGGAGTGAAAAGGTCATCATCCAAATCAACCCTTTCCCGCGAGGCAGGCTGGTGTTCCCGAACAACACGAACGCTCGCGCTCACCTCGATTTGTTTCCGGCGACGCTCTTCCCTCTCCAGGAACTCCTTCACTCCATCCTTCTCCTCCACAACCAACCCAGCTGGTAATGGAGAAGGCCCGTAATCATCATCGTCTTCATCAAATGATTGGTGCTGACCCGCCATGGAGGGAGGGAAAGCAGGACCAAGGACTCTCTTGGAAGTAGACCCCCCTTGAGCTGAGGGGGATGGTGCGGGGTCTCTAGACGTTAGCATGTCTGGAGGGAGAGCGGGGGCGTAATCATCCTCGTCCTCGTCTTCGTCCTCATCCGGTGGAGGTGGCATAGGGTGGGCCGTCACCTGTGGAGGAATCTGTGGTTCTATTGCTGCTGAGGGCATGGGGCCCTCATTCTCCGACTCTTCTTCAGGTGTTGGAGGTCTGGCAGACAAGATATGAGCAGGAACAGTGGGCCCTATCATGGTTGCTGCAAGTTGTGCATTGGTTGTACACGAAGAGATTCAGAAACACAAGTGTATGTATGCGAGTCACGTGTATGCCCCGATCATGTCCTCGATCACCGCCCCGCGGCAATGAACATATTTCCGTAAACAAGAGTTAGTTGTTCGATGCTCTATCCCCCGGGAACGCAACAGCCCCGATTTTGGTGAAAACCAAGAGCCAGACGTATTTCATGTCGCATGTACATTTCGCCGTCACCATTTGAAATCGGGATGCATCCCTGCAGTTTACAGTAGTTCTGTTTACAGTACTTAACGCTCTATTCATACAAGGGCCGACGAACATTGAGAAGCTTCGTGATTCTAGTAAAATATGCTCAAGACTCCTTCTGCATGGCAGCCAACTCCTCCTTCAACTTCTTCAGCTCCTCCACCGCCGCGACAACTTCCTGCTCTAGCTCCGGAGTTTTAGGCGTCTGGCCTTTGAGGGCCCTTACCTTTTGTCCCTGCTCGGCCACTCTCTGCTCCCATGCTAGCACTTCCACCGACTTTGGCTTCTCGTCCTGTGCAGCCGCTTTGTCCGCCGCCTTCTTTGCTGCTACCGCTTTCCGTTTCGACATGCCCGGAACGACGTGCGTCGCGTCGGAGTTGGGCTCAGGTGTGCCATCTACCGGCTTGTTTCCTCCAAACTTTGCCCTCCACACTTCTGCCATCTTCTCGTCGATGCGCTTGAACAGATGCTCAGGCGTACCGATCCGGTGTCCTGGCAGGATGTCCGTCGCTAAGACCTCTGGGATGGTGCGTGCAGGTGCGTTCAGTTGCTCCAGCATGGATTCAGTTGTGGTCGGCATGTAGGGGGAGACGAGTGCGGAAAGGACGTAGATGAGGTTGATGGCTCGCGATACCACCTGTGCGCAGCGCTTCGGATTTTCGTTCATCAATGCCTTGTTCAAGCCAGAAGCTTGTAAGTAGAGGTTCCCGCGGGCAGACAGGAGCATGACTATCTGGAGGCCAAGGCGCAGCTTAACGGACTCCAAGGCATCGAGGTACTCTTTCAACAGACCGTTCACCTCAGAGATGAACTCGGCGTCAACGTCGTCGTTAGGGGACAGCGGGCCAGGTACATCTCCGCCATCAGGAATGACACTATCGTATTGCGACGCAACGAATTTCAGAGCACGGTTCACAAAGTTTCCGAAACTGCAGGAAGAATCAGAGAATGCTGCACACATTGAGTTTCATCGAAGCTTACTTGTTAAGGAGGACATTGTTATTTGCCGCAATCTGAAGAGGGGCATGCAATCAGAAGAATACATTTGCTATACTTATGGATCACGTACGCAATCGGCCCAGGAGAACATGGCGTCCGCAGTCTCTGGCCTTGTCGAGATCAAGTAATATCTCCATACCGAAGTCGGGATTCCAGTCTCCTTGGCGGCTGGTCCGAAGACACCACGATTATGACTTTTTGAGAATTTTCCGCCTTCGTAGTTCAAGTATTCTGCGCGACACATTCAGTCTCTGAGGAAAGTAGTCCCGTTAGGATATGCTCACCGGTAGTGGATAGATGGTACAAAGTTGTCCACGGCCGGCCATCACCTAAGAGAATAGCAGGGAAGTAGATAGTATGGAAATAGACGTTGTCTTTTCCCATAAATTGATACAAGCGGACGTTTCTGTCGTTCAACCACCATTGACGCCATTCTTGTGTGTAGTTGGCGGTGATACTGAGGTAGCCGAGGGGTGCATCATACTACAAGCTCGATTAACCCCCAGGGTTGCAACACCGAACGATGAAAGCTCACCCAAACGTCTATATGAGAATGTCTTTTGAGCTCGAACATTATAGACTCAAATTGCATAAAACTCACAGAGAACTTTCCCCTTCATGCCATGGTCATCTTCGCCTTCCACCACCGGTACAGGAACACCCCAGGTCAAGTCTCTTGTCACAGGGCTAGGGCGAAGCCCAGATTTTAAACGAGCATCGATGAGTTCCCCATCAGCATTGATGACCGCATTCGGCGACCATTTCCCCTCCTTCCACGACTTCTTAATCCATGCTTCCGTCTTAGCCTGAAGAGAATCCAGCTTGACGTACATGTGCGAGGACGAGCGAGTTGTCACGGTGTGTGTTTTGTTCACGAGACACCGGGGATTGATGAGGTCTATAGCGTCCAACGTCCGGCTACATACGTCACATTGGTCTCCACGAGCATCCTGAAATTATGCGTAAGCGGGAAGATCGAGTTATCGAGGTGACACTTACATCCGCACCACAATGCGGGCAGGTTCCCTCGACAAATCGATCTGCCAAAAATCTGAAGATCCGTAAGTTAGTGATCCAACTATATGCGGTGTGCTTACTTGGAACACCCTTCGCAATATGTTTGGTCTTTAATCTGCTTTTCTAGGAAGCCATTTTTGAGGAGCCCGAGGTATATATCCTGGCAGATTCTACAGTCGGAGGGCGTACATGAGTACAGAAATTTTTGACGGAAGAGAATATGCGCACTCACTCGGTATGAAGAGGAGTCGATGTTCGTCCAAAATGATCGAAGCTGTGCAAAGTTTTCCGGTAAGGTTAATGAAGCGACGGACAGTCTATCGTACGCACCTCAGCTGGAACCAGTTATATGTCTCTACATGGAGAGCATTATACTTATCGCATAGCTGCTTAGGGGTGATGCCTTCCTTCAAGGCTTGTGTTTCTGTTGCCGTACCATACTCGTCTGTACCACACACATAGAGCGTTCTCCGATTCCTGGCACCTAGAAGATCCTTGAGTATGAAGTACTATCTTAAGGATTGATCCTAGATGCGTACGATTATAGCTACGTGGCAAGTAGTTGGTCGTGTGCCCAAACGAGTCAGAGAGAACGCTTACCGAGCGAAAACGTCTGCGCTCAGAGTACTTCCAATTATATTACCTACTCGCATACCTTCAGTGGTCTAAGATCGCGGAAAAACAGTATTACCGTACCAAGATGGGGTACATTGTTGCAATAGGGAAGAGCGGATGTGATCAAGATATTTTCCTCTCCTTCCTTGGGCAATCTAAATTCTAGTTAAGAGGTACCTCGCCAGACGCTGCATGAACCACTTACATGGTTTCTCCGGGCTTGGGGATCACACGCAAAAGCCCCTCCGCCTGTCGGATGTTCTGATCCATAGCGAAAGGCGCGATATTGGACGAGAGAATGAAGACCGTCTTCTGTGGTAAAGTGAGTCAGGCTGAGGCTGTTACACCTTTTGAGATCGCGATCGATATGACTCGCGGGTGCGTCTAGCGCGCGTAACGCGGCTCGGGGAGGTGTAACTCTGCTCGTATCTCGTCTGCGCACTGGCCTGTAATCTAACTCCTGTACGTCAACTTTAAGACCGATGTGTCGACCCCACTTGTACTGAGTCGTATTTTTCAGACCATCTATTCAGTCTCGCGTTCCATGACGCCCGGACTTGAATCGCATGTGATCGCGGGGCATGCAGCTGATGCCCTCGCAAGCTTGACCGCTTCCCAAGTCGCCTTCTTGAAATCCGTCCCGAAAGCAGAGCTGCATGCACATCTGAATGGCTCTATTCCTCTTCCAACTCTCCAGGAGCTCGCTCATCAATACATCCTCGAGCATGATCCACAAACGGACGGCCATTCTCCCGAGCTGGACACACTACGCGCATCTGTCGAGGGCCTCCTACAAGGCGTCGAACTGAACGAAATCCATGAATTTTTTGGGCTCTTCCCGGCAATATATACTCTGACTTCAACGCCGGCCGCCCTCGCTACTGCTGCTCGCGCCGTTCTGCAATACTTCTTGTCATCTGATGACGGCTACCCATCGGCTGCATATCTAGAGCTTCGTACCACGCCCCGGGAATCATCTTCCATGAATCGTCTGCAGTATCTTGAGTCAGTCTTGGGCGAGATTGAGCAGTATCCCGAAGACAAAGCTGCATTGATTGTCAGTTTGGATCGGCGCATGAGCGCGGATGTCGCTGCAGAGTGCATAAATTGTGCCATACAGCTGAAGCGGAGCGGTAGAAGAATAGTTGGCGTTGATCTCTGCGGCGATCCAAAGGTGCGCACTCGTTGAACCTCTCGCGATGCCATACGTGCTGCTGGAGGTCCGGATTTGTCGGTACATGTAATAGGCAGGAAACATGGAAGAGTTTGCAGTGCATTTCCGACGAGCTAAAGAAGCCGGTTTAGGCATAACTCTCCACATTGCGGAGGTACGTGCCATGGCCAACAATCATACCCTTGTAAATTGACATATCTCTAGATCGAGGAGAGCCCTGCCTCGGAAATCCTTCAACTCTTGTCATTCCAGCCTGACAGGCTGGGGCATGCTACTTTTCTTGACTCAAATGCGAAAGATATCGTTAAGAGAAACAAATCTTGCATCGAGATTTGTCTCTCATCCAACCTGCTGTGCAAAACCGTGCAAACTTTAGACGTCCATCACATCCGCTACTATCTTGAACATGACCACCCCATTGCCATCTGCGTTGAGTGTCTCCCTTATTTTATATCGACGGGCTTATCTTATTCAATAAACCTGCAGACTGACGACATTTTACCTTTCCGCAACTCTCTTCTCGCCGAATATGCTATGTTGATGGCAGCCCCACCTCTCGGGCTTGGACTGACCGAAGAAGAAATAGAAGAAATCGCAAAGATGGGCATGGAGTGCCGGTTTAGACTGGGTGCGAGGATGCATAAGTAGAATATAGGCTTCAACTGCGCGTGTGATATATTGCGGCCGTATGTAGTGAATGTCTTGTATGAATAGAATATATCCCTCTCAGATCCGTTCTCTGCGATTAAACTGACCTGTGTACGCTACCGATTGAAGTTCGTGCAGTCGCTAAGTTGCACCGCGCACTCAAGTCGAGCTCCGACGGACAGATCCGGATCCAGGCGGAGACAATATGGAGCCTGCCCTAAACTTGTGGTCGTATATAAGGACCCCTCCGCCCTTGATTATTCTCCATTCTTGTGCTCGGGCACGTACTGTCGCCAGTGAGGTCTATACCGAGGCACAGTCTTTTGCTGATTGCAAATTACACATCCGAACACGTCTGTTGGCTTCGGCCTCCAGCAATTTTTGGAAAACTCTTCTTGACGAGAGGGTTGCTTACTGTGAGCATGTATTGTGTAGGATTTAGAGCGAATAAAATTTTTTCTGGACATATTCTTTCTGATTGTGAAGTATGCTTGGCCGGTAATGCTGTGATGAGCTCCATTGTGAATGTTTGGAGAAGTGGATGTTGAGATTGTGCTATTTATTTGAGTAATTCTGAAATGGAAGCAAAATACATGATTCTGTCAACTGTGCAACTTAAAGTTCTTCATATCATGAAGACAGGACCCAGTGTTTACCATATAGAATCACTCATGAATGGGTAGTACATGATGATATTTAGTCCAGTGTGGCATGGTCCTTGACAATAAAAAAAGAATACAACATGCAGTACAGGTAGTGTATGGCAATATGAAGTCCAGAAAATATCCTACAGTCCATCTACAAAGGAAACATCCTAATAGGCTGAATACCTCTCCATAGGTGGAGGATATCCTCGCGATCCCACGTTGCTGTACAGCTGTTGGCCGCTAACACCGCCCACAAGGCTTGCAGGAGCGCCACCGTGATAGCTGCTGACTACGTCGTCTTCGTACTCCACTCCAGGAGAACCACCCACGAGCAATGGATCTTTGATTTCCCAAACTGTCGCCTTTGACCCGACCGAGAACTCCAAGTCTTCTCGCTACGAGAGAATTAGACTACCGCAAGGCGAAAGCGCAGTGAGAGGCGTACCGTAATACTATCCCAGTATTTATAGACCATCATCACGCTGAAGAGCATGCAGAGGGTGAAGAAGAACAGGCCGTCGATGTAGTGCTTGACGGCGTTGCAAATAGTGCCGCTGAATGCGAACAACAACACCTGAGCGATCGTGTAAGCGGCTGTCCCGAAGAAGATGTCGCCGATGGGCCAGCGGTCCTCCAATGTTCGGATGATGAGAATCAGCTGAGAGATGATGTAGATTACGACACAGACGACGGGCCAAATAAAGTAGATGACCCATAGGCCAGTCGGTTTCGTAAAGCTGAAGTGCGCAAAATTCTTGAACGTCGCGATCGCGACGAAAAATGTGACGCCGAATACAGCAAGAATCGCCAGACGAAGGAGCTGTATGGAGCTCAGCACGAGGCGCGAAGCATAGAACTCATCGACGACGCTACTCACCCACAAGGATATGGGTGTGCCATCTTCGGCGAATTGGAAGCCCACGAAGCCATTGATGAGAAGACAGACGTAAGCCGCCGCAATTAAGCCGTTATAGACTGCTGCAAAATACTAGTACATTCATTCATGCGTGCGCTCGCAGGGGATGGCAGGTAGACTCACTGGATAGCTGACATTGCCAATTGGGATCACACCCGAATCAAGAAAAAGCGCCAGCAACTCAATAATCGCGTAAAGATAGAACAACATCAAAATTTCCTTTCGTCCTGCAGCGCAAGAGGATGGGAATCGCGTCCCCAGACGAAGATAACAGGCAACACGTACCGATGGCGGTATATTTACTTCGTACGTGAAAAATCATAATCGCAGCCATAATGATGGCGACGATGTGGATAACAGACGTCGCTAATAAGCCAAATGAAGGATTAAAATCCAAAAATACATGCTCGGGTAGAGGGTCGGGTAGAGTTGCTTCTTACCGGGCTGAAAAATCAACGTTCCCGCAATAACCACATTCCTGCTATAACAGTTGGGCTCTATGCCTTGATCTGAGCCAACGAGCGGGCAGACCACCAGCGCTGCGGTCTCGCATATCGAGTCGAAGGATCCAAACTGAATGCCCATGATGCGTGAAGGAGGGACGAGTCAAGAGAGCGTGAATGGGATCCTCAGCCGAACGACTGGACACGACGTAAAGGCAGACTTGAGAGCCCTGGAGGGAGGTCAGGGAAGACCAGCGGGGACAGCAAGAGACAGTCCGGTGAGGCTGCGAACGCCAGAAGGGAGGGCGACGGGTCGGACGGTGACGACGAGGGAGCCTCACTGGAGTGACCGAGGCAGACGAACGCTGTCACATCGGCGGTCACTCTGTCACACAAGTAGCGCGGAGCCTCTCGTGGACTTTGCGTGGACCAAACTTGCATGCATGCCTACCGTCAGCTTCTAACTCTGAAAATTTGTGGAAATTGTGACAATCACTGAAATTTTCAGAACAGGTGCGTCCGTGGTTCTGAAGGGCTGCGTGGGGCGAAGACTCAGACTTCAAAGAACGCGCTGGACCATGATAGCGTATGGCGTGCGGCCCTTCGGGCTTCAGTAAGCACTGCGAGTGGGACCGTATGATCAGACGACTCCCTTCGACCTCGTCCTATTCTGCCAATAAGTCCCCGTGGATGAAGTTGTCGATCCAAATGCACTGCCCGTCCGCGTGAACCCAGTGCATGTGCTCTCGGTGCCTTTATCAGTCAGTGAGATGGTCCTGCATTTCAACACTTGAGGCAATGTTTTTATTGTTAGCTTAGATTGCTGCCACCAATTCATCCGTGTATAGTTTAGCATTTGATTTTGTGAGACTTGCAGAATCACACCGGACCACACACCGCTTTCTATATCAAACGATTACTAGTAAGTACTGCCAGTGCTGTTTCTCTGATTCTTGGATCAGGCTGCGGGTACAGCAATCGTTGGACTTGGTCAATGAACTATCAGATGGAGCCAGTACCAAGTAAGCTCGCTATCTCGCAGAACACGTTTACCCCTCTCCATCTCCGCTCGTCCACAATCTTCCAGAGATATGGTTCTGTCGTGATGCCACGAACTCACAAAGGTGTGTATTCATCGCCACGGTGGCTCACCTTCATCGATACCTGGGTGGTGATGATATCGGAACACAAAGTCTATGCACCACCGAGAACTTACTTTCGCGGCCCCACCTTAGCCCTACGTCAGAAGGTGGGATATCTCATCTCATCGCTCCAGTAACAACTAAACAGAATCTAATGATCACAACTGGTAAGACTGGTGGCACAGTATTGATGCGGTGGCAGACGCGCGAATGTAGCCGTTACCCCGTGGTAGTCAGATGAATATCCCGCGCAGCGCCGTTGATCGGTGCAAAATGAGTGCAAAATCTTCCACAAGCGGGCGCTATACATCAGGGTCGTGCAGAACGAGAATGGTGTAACGAAAATGCTTCGCGTACTTCGTACCGAGAACGTCCCGTGGTCCGTGGCCGGCCCAAATATGATTTGGCATGGGTAATATATACAATTGGCATTGCAGGTGCGCTGTTAGCACGGCAGCTGGTGAATGGGTAGTGCGCATGAGACTTTTGAATGTTTAGTCCCTGAAACTTAAAGCCACGGCTGTCTTTGTCCACACCTCTGAACATGTGTGTGTGGCTTGGCTGCAAAACTTGATCCACTTCCGGCTCTAGGATTCAACTTGTCAGCAATCAGAGCCCTCACGCTAGGTTACGACGGTCCACTCGCTTGTGACATTGTTTCAGTTTTGGCAGAGCAAAATACGTTGGTGATACTATCTCACCAATGTGCCGGTAATACACTGAGTCAGGCTCCCGAAACCGACAGCATGGACACGGGCATGACAGCCCCATCCGTTCAATACTCGGTATGATGGGCCACTTGTTCATCCCCGCCGATTTTTTGCGCCAATCTTAGAGGCGCAGGAACAATGGGGTAAGCTCACAAGAGTCGATGCGTTCTACATACAGCAGGCGAATTTGCTACGAGCAGTGATGGTCTGCGCACCGGGCCGAAAGTAGTACGCATGAGTGCGTCAGCCTTCCTGAAAGGTTGAACCAGTTTACAAAAATTTAGGGAGAACATGGCGCTCCGGCTGGGGTCCGGCAACGGTGATTGGGAAAGCACACCTCCCCTGCAGCCGGTGTCCCACTGTGAGAAACGCCGCATGTGTCGAGTCACTGTGGAACAAGTGTTGAATGAGGCAAATGTAAATACACGGAACAGCGGATTCTGTAAGGGTAGATGAATGGATGATATGCTTGAACCGCAGACCTACCGCCGCGAACAAATGGCCTCGGGAAACTGCCGCGAATGGGGACAAGCGGGCGGCATTTTTTACGCATATGTCCGAATGGTTCACCACATCCTTGTGGCCAGCAGCCCCAAGTCGCCGATCTGAGAGGAGAATGCGGGTGAATAGATTACGTGATAAGTAACATAATTGAGGTGCAGTCGCGGCGCAGCTGCCAATCAATCCGGACTTGCGACATGATTGGACTTGTTGGTTGTTGCGCGGGAGGGGGGGGG